TTTCTGGAGGAGTTGAGGTATAATAGGCAGCATTTCCTCTTTTCCTTCCAGCTCTCTTAATATTTACTTTTCTCTACCTGTGTTGTGTGTGGCTCTTAATGAGGGCAGATGTCAAGGCATAGTGTGTTTAGAGACGCAGACACGTTTTTTTGAGATGCAAAATCAGTGAGAAAATAGAATAGATAAAAATGGCAATGAAGTCTTGTTCCACAAATGATACAGTGTTCCAATAAAATCAGACATTATTACTGTCTTGGAGTTAAACCAGATTATTTTTACACTATTTTTACACATGAACAATATACTGCTGTCACACTGAGTGCTTCACAGTCAGGAAATTGAGGATTAAACTAGTACAAGTATAACTACATTTCAACAAAAACAAAATTAGTAGAAAACCTAAGTCAGTTGTTTTATCTTAAAGGATAGCCCTATCAGGGAGATAACCTCTATATTTGTTTTTATTAAATTATATCTAACTCTACGGAGGCTATGGAGTGAGTGAAAATATTCAGCTCTATCTTGCTGTTGGAGTCATGTCTGTAAGTGTGAAGTATCTTCAGGCCATTAAGGTCTTCTCTTCTGTAATGGGTTGCCGGATCCAGTGGGTGAATCTATGTAATGGTCTGAAGCATGGGATAAAGAGGATGGTTCTCCAGTGTCACAAGGCTTAATTGCCCGTCATCCTGTGGTAGAAAGAGACATCACCATGTTCCGTATGTGCCCTCTACGACAGCCTGCATTGAAATTAACACCTTCATAACATCTGGTAAGGGCCTTTCTGGGCCAACAGAACAGCGAGGAAGGATTTCTGTTGGGATGTGTCCCTGCTCCTTAATCTCATCACCCATCATATACACTCATGCAAGCAGACTCATGAATACAACAGACTGCTATGAAAAGATACACACTTGTGCACACTTGTAGCCTTTTTCTCTTACAGAAGAGCTGCCTGTCCTCTGGTTGACTGAGCCCAGCCTACTTGCAGCTTCTTTTGCAACAGGCTTGAGATGTATCTAAGCCCCAAACTGTTCCAGTTTTCAAAACAAGATAGGGACGGAGAGAGGACAGGGTGCTCTTCCACCTCCCAACAATAGGAGACTCCACACATATACACAGGACAGGTAGTACAATATCAGCACCCAGTACTCTGCATATATTCAAAAGCATAAATGCTCCTTTTTTTTGTTTGTTTATTCCAGTAAGGATGTTACAACCTGACACACAGGTCAGCTAACAGTGTTGAAGTGTCAGGGTTCACAGGTCAGAGTGCTACATGATAAGAGAGGAGGTCAGCGACCTTGCTGGTGCATCGCCTCTTTTAATCGCTGTTCTGAGGACGCTCTGACTGCTTAGCAGGTAGTGGTCAAGGTTGGGGCGAGGGGAAGGAGCGCTGATCCAGGATCTGTTTACAAAGCAGCATGTAACCACACAAGACTCAGTGACCCTGAGTGGTGAATTACAGCGTGTAGAGAACACTGTGTTTGTTTATTTGCTATAGACAGGGCTATGGACTGTGGTTGCGGTGTAAAATCAGAGAAGGGTCCTCACATTGAACCCATCAGATGAAGCAAGGCCCTTCAGTTCATTAGGAAGTCTGTACTCAAGTGTACACTTTTTTTTGTTTTCTCTATTTCTTCCCCCACTCTATCCCTCTTTCTCGCTCACCCTTCAGAGTGAGTTCAGCAGAGATTCCTTTGGCATTACCCTCACCCCAGACTGCTGGAAAACCGCAGCGCTCCGGATGCTGACCCTTGCTCGGCTCAGCACAATGCTTTAATTTGGTGTGTTGTTTAAAGTAATTAGAAAGCCCTTTTTCCCTTGTTTTCTTTTCTATTCTTTTCAGTTCTCTGCCAAGTACGAGAGGGAAATAGTGAGTTGTCCATGACTTCAGCTTGATAAAGACTCAGAAGAAGAATCTAGGGGACCGGGAGAGGAAGTGAAGAATGCAGATACTGTATGCTCTCGCTGTACCCACTTCCCCCCTGCACAGCCGCAGATCTGAAAACAAACAGGGACAGGACTCGGGGGATACTTGTGTCTGAATGTGTGTGTTAGAGTGTGTGTATGTGCAGCATTTGCAAACACAAATGACTGAAAATAATCAACGCTTACACCTTTGCATGGTGATTTTACTGTATGTATTCTTTGACATAAGATAGTAATATCACGAAAGAGGCAGAGAGTTGATAATGGAGCAAGGAGAGAAAGTTCATCACATTCACTAATCCTGAGGCAGTAAGATTGCAAGAGACAAGAAAGACGATGATTGTCAGAGAATCTTCTTTGTGTCTGCCGTGCTGCTCTGTACTGTTCAGCACAACTGTCACAGCGGTAAGAAAAGGAGCATTAATGGTGCTAATCTTTGACAATTAATCCCACTTCCATTGGATATATTGTTGCAAAGAATGTCGGCATATACTCATGCATATGCACATTTCTGAATGCATACTTGCACACACCCAAGACTGATATTTGCACATATTTTTCACACAAACATACACAGATATCTTTTATCTCCATGTACACACCGTATTTTCACACACACATGGAAGTACCACACCAACACACACCTGGAGTGACTCAAACATGCAAATGTATGTGTGTGTATAGGTGTGTAAATGAAATGTAGTTTTACACTTTGGTTGTGCCTGAATCATAACCTTGGAATAAAAGAGAACATACCAAACTACATCACACACAATATTCAGTATTCATGTTTCATGCACACACCTGCACATTCACTTAAACTACATATACGCTACTGCTGTCCCATTTCCTTGCACAGCGTATTTGCCTCCGACTACCTCACCACTCTACATACCCTCCACTAAACAATTCCAGCACTGGCACTCCAATCCACACATATCAAGACTGTTGAACTGTAATAAAGGCTCACTTAAAGCCAGGGCTGATTGTGCTAATATTAGAGAGTGGAGACATTGAAAGAAGGTCAGATATGAAACTTTGCAGCTGTGCTCTCATTGCTAAAAACATTCATGGCCTTGGTGATCTGTTCAGCCCAGTGTCCCAAGCAGATAAGTCCTTTGAATTCAACCAAACACCCTCAAACCACAGAAGACGATGATACTGAAGCAACTTTCTGAAGCAAAAACAAACACCCTTCAGCATAAACTGGGCAACAAAAATCCAAAAGAAGACCTACAAGCCAAGCTACACAAAATGTATCTAAAATGAAAACACAAATACTGTTGGTTATTGGTGGCTTCCATCATAACAAACAGAAGTTAAAGTCAGTCAAAAGTATGCAGGTTCCTGCTCTAAATGGGGAAATCAAAATTACAATGATGTGATGCTACTAAGACAGTGTCAGATATTGAAACAGTGAAACTAAAAGATCCTATGTAAGTATCTCTGTCAGTGTCCATATCTCCTCTTGTCTCTGAGCATAGGACAACTTTGTAGAACTGAGCAGAACAGTACTGTCGTACTAAAAGGCACTTGCCATACGAGTATCAACAGTATCAACATGTCTTAATGTTCCAACCAATTCCTGAGGTACTTGAGACACAATAGTCCCTTTCAAGAAGGAGAGAAAAGCAATTCTGCATGAAGTAGGAGTTACATGTACTTACTCGTATGTGAAGTGAGTGGCACATTACGAGGATATGTAACCTTTGTTGCCTCATTTTAATGAGGAAGTGCATGGGAAAAGAATATCATTAGGTCTGGATAAATACAAGCAGCAGGTGGGGGGGGGACAAAATCATCATGCCGGGTTTTGTCTTAAGGCATGTGTGATTTTTTTGTCAAGCAATGTCGCCATCTACAGGCGAAGAAAAATATTTCTGCAATTTAAGTCTGTCATTCACAAATTTTATTTCATCTGTGAACCCAACTTGCAATTGAAAACCTTTAATTACTAACTTAACTGACTACATCTAATTTAGTCTAAATAATAGCCTAAATTACATACCACAGCATGTACCACAAACTACTGTATAACCCCAAGGTTGATGTCAAGTAACAGACGGCTTCTATTTTTCTCAAAGGGGTTGTCTTTTGTTGATCTTATTGTCAGCTTTTTAAATTAACAAATATGAAAGTAGATACTTAGAAATAGAGAAGCTTAGCTCTGAAGACTTACCAAATAAATCTGCATTGTAAATTACGTACAGTTTACATCTAATTCCATTTTTATGTGTGATATTTCAGTGACACACAGCAATGAGATTTGGTTCATTATAATGACTGAGTTTTATATTTCTTCCAAATCCAATCCAATCTAACCCAAACATTCCTTATGAAGAGATAAATATACACAGATAGAAGGCGAGAGACTGCAAGAAAATCTGAGGTCTGTTAACTGGTTATTTCCAACTGAGTCTTGTAAAAAATGCACTTATTAAAATTAATCACTTCATTGTTCACGCTCACTCCATAGTCCAGCTCTCTCTCTCGTTTTCACTTTCTACTCTCCAAATGTGCCTGGCCATGATTAAAACATGTCTGTTTCTCCATGACATTGCTTTGACATCATTTAATTGGTATAAGAGATAAAAAATAAATGAATTAAATAAATATACTACCAGGTAAGTGGCGTAACGTAGCTCAAGGTGACAGCCTATTATTTCTCCCTTTTCTTTGCCTCAAAGAAGGCAAAGTGAGAAATGTGAGATTGCACTGAAAATGCAGCTCCTGAAGGGGAAGAGTTTTTTCTTTACGAGATTTTTTTTAAATGAAATTCCAATTTTGTAAAGTTTACGACAAATTTATTCAAAAGGTATATTTTAAATGACTTTGTATAATGTACATCTTGTTGTGTCTTGTCTAATCTGTACACCTATACTGATTATAATCACCTGTCACTTTTTACAGCACAAATACGTATTGCTTGTTTTAAGAAGAGTATCAAAGGAATGAAATGCATGTAAATGTGATTAATGTTGTAAATAAAACAAGAGCGTAATGTCTCCAACCCAACAATGTGTGGAAAGGGGCTTCTACAGTGAAATTAAAGGAGCTCTGAGGTTACTCACCACATCTTGCCTGGTATCCTTCCCCGATGCGATGAGGATGTAGTTCCAGGCCAGCGGCAGCAGCAAAGCCAGAGGAATCATATAAAGTTCAAAGTTCCAAACGACGATGACAAAAAACTGAAGAGAGAGAAAAGGACAAAACCATCAACAAAAGAAAAGTGAGAACAAAAACGTGAGTGTACTCAGAATGTATACATTCAAGACCCCATATTGACCCTCATAAGGCAAACTCCTGAGAACGTACGCCGACCACATGTGTGACTGGAAACGGCACATATTCAAACACATTCATATGCAGAATCATAACCACCATGGAACAAACCGTAAAAATAAGACTGGGTTTCAACAAAGGTACAGGCCTGGTGTCGGTGAGCCTAGGTTCAACACCCTGACCCTGAAGGCTTTCTGGGCCTTAAGATGAGGAGGAGGACGATGAAGAGGATGAGTATGAGCCGTCAGAGCCTCTTTCCTCCTTGCCAATCATCCCAGAGGCTGAGGTCATGTACCGTTTTCATCCACAGCACGTCAAAGCTGACCTCTCCACACTCAACCCCAAACCCAAGCATCTGACCTCACACACCCCACACCCCGTGTCCCTAACCCTGTCACTCCAAGCCCCAATACCCTCTCTCCTACCCCAAAAGACTCTTATGCCCCATCTCTAACCTTCTCTGCACCCATCTGCCAAAACTATAACCTCTATACCTCCCCTCTCATCACCAAACAAGAAAAGTACCATCTGAAAATTAACCTTTCCTAAAACCCCGTATTCTGGTTTTGGCAGGGCTCTTTAGCCTCTGACAACAGATTATTGCGGTGGTTGGGAGAAGATATGTGGGAAAGTAAAATTGCTAATGATGGAAGCTTGTTATTTAGCGGCATTGTGTCAACTGTGAGAACGCATTATGTCAACTGTTTCAAAAAGTTTAGCTGGAGGAGAAGGGATATTTTTGTGAGAAAACAAATGGAACAAAATATTTATCTTTTCTTATAATTTCATGTCGAAGTATACAGAGATTTTTCATGATTGATAAGACCTCAGCAGCAATTATAACAAATGCTGAAAATTCAAAACTGCCTAATACTTAATATTTTGTAGCAAAACATATTTATCAAATTAAAGTAGAAGAAATCCATTATTTCAAATATGAGCAGAGAAGATTTGAAATTAATTACTCTCTGTATGGAAATGCATCCATGTTCAACAATCAGTTTTAATGGGAAACTTTTAAAGAGTGGTGAAATTGAGACCAGTACTGTATAAAGCAGATTTACTGGTCTGTGTACCAATTATTATTTATCCTGTTTGGCTCAACAACATCAACAAGAGAGAGAAAGCTTAATAATCAAATTGTTTAATTTCTGTGTGTGTGGAAAAGGAGAGAGAGGAGAGTGAAAATAAAGCTCTTCATTGTGTTTACAGTCTAAGGTTAATGTGAATATGAGGTTCAACAGCCCCTCAAGAGTGTGTATGCAGGTCCACTGTTACTGTAGTGGAGCCTGTCGGACACTAAACTGAACACACTGTGCCGTTGGTATTTCATTTTCCTTTCACGCTCACACACGAACACATGCATCGGAATATCAATGCAAACAATTCTTCACAATAACAACACAATTAAACAATTACATTTTCTCAACTTTTCCACTTCTGACAGAAAAGTTTGAAAGGGTTATATCCAAACTTTTGAATAGAACTATAAGTTCATGTAAAATTAACAGACACTGAGTACACAAAGCAAAAGAGATATAAATTAAACATTAGAAATGTCCAGTGCATTTGCATAATGCTCACAGCTAAATATCTTTTTCAAATAAACCTGAATGGCCTTGGTGCAACAACCAAATCTCCCAAAAGGATCTAAATCTTTCTCCGTCTCTCTCTCAGGCTCAACTTCACTTACTCACATACAAAGAGTCTCTCTTATACAGCTGTGTAGGAGAATTAGAAAGAAACTATTCAATAATTCATATTTGTATACTAATAAGCAACACAACAATTTCCCTTCATACATCATAAAAAGCTGTTAGGACTGTGTAAACTAAGCAACAGAAACCCGCACACAGGCAAACACAACACATGTTCTCGCACATTTTCTCTACAAAATGTAACCAGTCTAAAATTATCCATCTCCCTACAAATTATTTTAATTTACAAATCTGTAACATTGATAAACACTGTAATAATCTCTAACTAAACAATGTGCAATAGAGGTGCAGAAACATGACTTCAGTCAAACAAACAAAGGAGCTCACTTGTTTTAAACCTATTCTGGTAGAAGCTATAAATAACTGCACACTTACTAACATCTTCATCAGACACACACAGTGCTCCTTTCAAATACTCTGCTATAAATATACTGTACAGCAAGCATATATTGCACTGTAAATATATTTAGTGTCTGGTTCTCTAATCGCTCATGGTATCGTTATCACATAACAGACAAATTAATTGCTCCTCACTGTCCTGATGTTTATATGAAACCCTAAAACCCTCTTTCATGTTTTTTTAAAAAAAAAAATGCTTTCTTCTCTATTTGCCTGAGGTCGTTTAACCTGTCGTCCCCCTTCATTCCTCTTCCGTTTGGTTATAGTAGCTGAGGGCGAAGTTTTGACTGGCAGCTAGAGGAACCGGACACCCAGGCTCAGCAGTGGCCAGCCCTGCCCCGTTTCCATGCCCCCCGGCTGGGTAATAGGGGCCCTACAGTGTCTGGACCTTTCCACCAGGACTGGGCGATCACACAGCCACCCCCCATTGCTTGCTACACCAGATAGCAGGCTCTTCGCCTGGGGAAGAGGGAGTGGGAAGGAGCCTGCTGTGGATGTCAGTGACCGGAGAAAGGCGGAGAAAAAAAAACAACGACGAAAACATGCTGGATCGGGGTGAAAAAAAGAGAGGGAAAATGCTAAATGAAGCTCCAGATGTAGTCTATGGGAATAATTTGTAGATGACTTTGTGTGGTCGGACACACATTATGTAGTGGTCGGTGACAGTTCACAGTGAATATCTGAGCATGCACACAGAGGGAAGCTCACCATGCTCCACTCTTGCGTTTAATACTGCTTAATACTTACCTGTGTGGTAATGTAAAAATATTCATATAAAAACACAATTAGTGTGTTTGTCCCTCTCTGTATATGAACTTCTATATTATTCAAATTATGCAAACTCTGTAATTTAGTTCAGAGAACATGTAAAGAAATGTGCAACTTGATACAAAAAACAAAAATGAGAAATGTAGCTTCTTTTCCCTTCTTGTACTAGCAGAGTATGAAATATTGTCTGTAATTTTCTGAACTACTAACACAGTACTGATGAATATCTATTTTAGAACTAGATATTTTAATACTACTTATTTCTTCCATGGTGGAAATTTGATTTTGAAACCAAACTACTGGCAGCAATTTACTTTTACCCAGCAAATCTATTTTGTCATAAAACTTAATCATCACTGCTTTAAAAATTATTTGTGCTTCAAGTCTAAAACAAAACTATTCCCTTGTCATGAAACAAAGTTAAATAATATTTTCCTCTGTCAAATCTGCTAAAACATTTCAAATAGTTAAAGGCTACAATTGAACTGGGCAAACTTCACATCTAAGCACACACTGAAATTCAAATGAGATGTATAATTAAAATGGACAATCACAAGCATGAACAAAGTAAAACCATGGCAGTATAATTTGTAATATTTTGGCTAAAATACCAATACACAAAATCAGTAAACTAAATTATTTTGACAGGTCTCTGTAGTTGGATTTAATCACAGCTATAATATTTGATGCTTTCTCTTAATATTAAGAAATCCCCTGAACACAAGAAGATTTATTAAAAATGTTAACAAAATAGACAAGTCAAAATGATTTATTCAAGCACTCAGAGCGGCACGTTGAGAGTTGTATATTGCATTATTTGTTTCAAAACACAACCCGCGTCCTTACGGCTCTGAGCCGCGGCACTGTGGGAGGGTAATATTCAGTACTTTGGCTTACATTAACCACACACCAGGCTAACTTTCCCCCTGCTCTGTCTCAGTGGAGTGAAACTGAAGTTTGGATTTCAGAGTTCCCCTTTATCTCTCTTACATCAATTTCCATGCTGGCACTAAGTGTTGCCAGATAGCAACTAGAAAGTCCTGTTAAGTTCGAGAAAACGAGAGAGGGAGGGAGACTGTGTCCTGTTTGTGACCGGACCTAACCATAATTCAGTGGTGCTAGACTGCCCCCTGCTGTACCCCTGCAGAATATAGCTCTTCAGCACAATTAATGCTGTTCATCTGATACAAAAGCAGCCTGAATGACTAAACCCAATGTGTCAATGCCAGTCATTTTGTAATAACATGGAAAATTAAAATAAAGCATCCACCATTTTATGGCCGCAGTACTGCAACTGCATACTGGTACCTATCAGAAGTAAGAATGCTATATCCCCCACTTCTCAACAAAAAGGCTTCACGCATTTTCTGTTGAGTCTAAATCTCTGGTGATTAAACTCTGACTTGGTATTCTCTGTTAGTCATGCCACTATATTTCAACTATCATTCATTTGGCAAATCAGGAGAGCAGTAAAATGTGAAAGTATATCTTTCAAAGCTGTCCCTTGCTGTGGGCAAAGACGAACTCCCGACTTTAAAACTTTTAAAAGTTAGACAGGTTCTTTGAAGAGGAGTCAAAGGAGCAATTTAAAGAGACCTGGAGTGGTGTGTACGACTGACTGCTATGGTGTCTCTGCACTGTGTGTGTATGTGCATCAAACTGCCAGCCAGGCATGTGCAAACACACACACACACACACACACACACACACACACACACACACACACACACACACACACACACACACACACACACACACACACACACACACACACACACACCCACCCACCCACCCACCCACACACACTCCAATAGTTGCTTCTGTACCTGTCTTTGCTTTTTTTCCCTTTTTTTATTTCAGCAGGGTGAATTTTTATCTAAATGCAAAGCAGGTGATAGGTGCTCCAGTTTCCTCTAGAAGTAGCTCCCTTGTCTGGGCTCCCTTCCTGATAAGAGTCCTACTTTGCCTGACATAAAAGAGCCCGGTATCATTTCCCCTGCCTCCCCAACAACCCCCAGCTCGCTGCCCTCGCCCTTCCCTGAGCTTCACAAAGCTGCCTCTATTTGCTCCCAATTCAGGGCCCAATTGCAGATAAAGTTACAGCAAATTTGTTTGGAGGAAGAGCTGCTGAGGCCTGCGGTCCCTGGGGCAATAACAGCCTTGTCTTGCAGGGGCCGTGGGGAGAGCTGGCAGCAGCAGGAGAACAGAACCCAACACCGCTCAGCCCCACAATGGCCTCAACTCTCCAGGAGGGAAGGCAAAGCAAGAGGAGGGGAGGGAGAGATAAAGAGGAACAGGGATGGATGGATGGATAGAAGGGAGAGACACTCAGCTTGCAGGTGTGGAGAGAGGAAGCAGGCGCTTAACCCTGAGACAGGGAGACGGAGACACCAAGACACCCACCTACACACACACACACACACACACACACACACACACACACACACACACACACACACACACACACACACCACCCATCATGCAGGACAGGAGGTAACTCCAGTCCCGTCCATTGTGCCAACGCCTCAGGCAAAGCTGCCACGGTGGCTGATTCACTGTCGGGATGGGTAGGTGACAGCAGTGTGGGTGTGAGAGAGAGAGAGAGAGAGAGAGAGAGAGAGAGAGAGAGAGAGAGAGAGAGAGAGAGAGAGAGAAAGGCAGCATGTGAGACTATGCGATATCTCTCTTTCTCTCACATGCTCACAAAACACACACAACATACACACTAATCACAGCTGGCACTAATGGGCGATGTGTACATGCGGATGGCATTGCAGAATTGGGCAGAAGGAGAGTAAGGAACCATGAAGAATATTTAGAGTGTTTTTATGGAGGGAATGTTGTGAAGTATGACAACTGCATTTTGATGTACTTTTGCATTCACAAAACCCCACAAATATATGACCATACTTAAATGCTCTCCTCAGGCTTACCTAGCAGTTAAAAAGTGAACACATTTGTAAGTTTAGAGGTTGAATTGCCCACAACTCCACCTCTGTAGCTAGTGCCGTGTTGGAAAGTTAAGCGTAACATCTGTCTAGAAAGACGGCCAGACAGAAACACACATGCACATGTGAACAGACACACATGCCCATAATCACACACAGCCGTACACCTTCATGAACGCACCACCTTGGCCAGATGGCCCCCCATAAAAACCCACTTAAAGAGATGAGCGAAGTGATTAAGAGGCCTCTCAAAGTGAGGGAGAAATGAGAGAGGGATGAAGAAATGGAAGGGAAGGGAGGGAGTACCTGTGTAGAGCAGAGGCCCTAAATACTCTGATGCTTTTAGCTAAGTGCATACTCCTACGATAACAGACTCCCAAAAGAGCGAGAAAGGGGGGAGAGAGGAAAAGCACAATGACACCTAAATTTCAGACTTTCTATAAACTATAAACTGCTACGTCCTTGGCCTAGATACATCCTTTATCGTCATCTGAATACTTTGAATTTAAGTGAGTACAATGAGAATATGAATAGTCGGCACTGTTACTCAGAAATTGATGTACTATAAGGTGTGTTTTCAAAAAGGGTGAGGAGCTATACAAGGCAAGCGTGCATGTGTGTGTGTGCTGACATGACGTGCACTATCCAAGGCTGCATCCTCCCCTCTCTATTCACCATGTAGATTGGCAAATCTGAAGTGACCTTGTTTTCTGTGAATTCCTTGACATTTTTTTGTCTGACATTTTCATTTATTTCTAAAAGATATGACACAAGGGCACGCACGCCCAGTTCAGCCTTACATGAGAGAAAATGCAAAAGCACACGTGCACGCCAGGCGCGTACATGAGTGTGCTCGCACACACACAGAAGGAAAATGTTAACTGATCAATACTATGTCTCTTCTGACCCATGTCTTGTGATGACACTGTGACCTGCTGTACACACACACACACACACACACACACACACACACACACACACACACACACACACACACACACACACACACCCCCTCTACAGAGAGGCTGTGTCAGACAGCCAAATGCTGCTAATGTCTAATGTCTGCTGTGGAGACACTTAGTGCCCCCATGGTAAAGGGCTGGGGCGGGGCGGGTCCACCTGTCCTGTAGCTACTTAAGTCAGGACACTAAACCAGACAGGATTAAATGCCTGCTCTGTCATCTTTAGGGTAGGAACCTCCATGCAGCCACTCACCGCCCTGCAGGAGAATGTCTTTTACTGATAGCTCTGCTGTCCAATTACACTTCACCTTTTAATACCAGACACAGATGACAGGAGGGAGAGAGAGACAGAGAGGATGAAGAGGAGAGAAAGAAGCTGCCATTTCCACTGTCTGCAGGAACAGCTTGTCATACTTCAGCAGATTGTACCTAAATTTTATTATTTATATTAAAAGTATTTGGATGTCTGACGATTTCATTTAAATATTGTTTAAGCTGCAACATCAATTCTCCACTCATTCCCAGCAACCGAGTGTCAAAACAGACACTTGCCATGTATATACCCATGTGTGTTTGTACATTTAATACAAAGCCAGAAAAAGTGTTTAATCGAGACTATCATATCAAGATATTTGAGTGCATGAGTAACTGTGTTTAGTGGGGGTTACAGTGTGGTAATGTACTTAACTGTGCTTGAGACATCAACAGTCTCTCGTGTTAAAGTGTGCAATTACCAGTGAAGGATCCATACTTTGTGGATCCTTCACTGGTAAGGAACATCTGTGAACATGATGCTTCCCTACTGTGTGTGTGCAGATGTTAACCAGCATACAAAGTGTAATTGGTAAAAAACATATATGACTATTGTTAGTAAATATATTTAGAATAGTAATGATGCATCAATGTCAGTGGGGTTGATTCAATTCAATTAAATTCTTGATTAACAAAATTAATAATAATATATCATAATCCTCTCTGTAGCAAGAGTCATTCTACCTAAAAAGGCTATAAACAAGGTTCTGTTTCAGTTCTTCATCCCTGCTATACGTACCACGAAAGCACAGATGCTCCTCTGTGGAGAGTCCCATTCGAAGCAGCTGTTGATGTAGCAGCCTGTGTTGATCAGGAACATGATGCAGCGCCTAACTCTGTTGAAGTTGCGTAACAGCAGCTAGAAAAGAGGCAAAGACAAAACACATTTAACATTTAAAACAAGTATACCCTTAAGGCCAAAAACGTGTGTTAGCAAGAAATACTGTTATATCACTCCACTGTAAAGGTGGTAAATACATAAACATACGATCATTCTGTAATCAGACTTAATAACATGTTGTATTGTGGATAATTGATTAAACTTTGTGCAGCAGGCAGCTAAGAATAGCTGAAAAAAACTCTAAAACATGTGTTTTTTTCCACATTAGCAGCACATGTATACTTTTTGTAAAGTCTTATTAGAAGTAAGTAGATAGGAGTAAAATTATATGCTTATAAACATAAGCACAGCTATTATTGATCATGTCTGATCTAGACATTTGTGAGGACATACTGTTAAAGCGGTCAATTTTCTCTCCTTTATGTTTAGTTAATGTCTGGATTCATCACAATTTAGTAAGAAAGCATATAATTAGCACCTCCATTAAAATGACATATTGTCAGTAAGTCTTAATATAATAGATTCAGACCCTGTAGTGTCTTATTCTGTTGTCACTTTGGAAAGTTAACTGGAGCATTAAGTTTTACAACTTGAGATTTGCAGCTTTGACCTAACTCTGGCTGCAAAATTACAACATTAAGGATATTAGTGTGTTTTCCTTCTTTAGATACCTATATATGGATGTGGATCAGTGTAAAGGACAAACGGTTGCTTTAAGTGTGACAAGCTGACTCACAATGTTTCTTTAAGTCTACTCTTCCAGTGATAAAGTTAAGTACAATAATAACAAATTTCAGCACAGTCCGTGGATTCTCCTCCCTGAGGGTTCTCAATGCATTTGGCCAGATATGAGAGAAACGGGCTAACTGCTGTCCTCCCCCTGGGTGCCAGCCATTGAGGGAATAGCATAACAGCAGCGCAGACCGCCAACCACCCAATCAGGTCACCACCAGGAGAAAGTGCTCCCAAAGGACAAACTGTCTCTGCAGATCGCTGTTCAAAAAATTCTAGGCCATTATTTTACTCTTTGGGAAATTGTGTGTGTGTGTTTGAATGTGTGTAAACCGTGGGTATACAGCATGTGTTTGTAGCACTACAGTAAAGTCTATTGTCTGAACGTAAGTGTGTTTCCGGCTGGATTTGCATGTTGTTAGGGGTGGCTTGGCTGCTTTGATGCTAGATGAGAGGAGGATTCTTCCTTCTCTATGTATAATTATGTGAAGCTTTTTGTTGCCAAACTGAGGATGACTGTATAGTGTCCTGCTGGGGACACACAGACCCTGAGGACAGCAAGACTGTGAATCATCCATTTCCACGTTCCTCAGCGCATGCACTTGATGTACATGCTGTACTCTTCTGGGCTCATTATTGCCATAACTGCTGTGATAAGAATATTTCATTTTTCATGAATTATTTCAAGGAGAGCCCTGAGTTATTCCTTGAAAACATTTAGTAAATTGGTGAAGTCATTTATTCAGTCAAATGTCATAATTACAATTAAATGGTTTTGTTTGGCAGGCAGCTTATATGTTTTTTTCTTTTCTTTTCTGTGTGTGTGTCTGCACACTAAGCAGCAAGCAACAGCAGGGGACCTGCTACCACACAAAAGAGCCCTCACAGGGCAATCCCTCCAAAGCAGCCAGTGACATCATCATTGCGAGACACTGACATGGGTCATCTCTATGAGTCAGAGGTGAAATGGAGATGAAAAAAGGATTCTGCACTTGGGAGAAAAGTGTAGAGTGGGCTGAGACAGAGAGCAACAGAGAATGCAGAAACAGTGAGGAAAAAAGGGAATAGATAGAGGGCTGACAAAAGGGTGGTATGGGTGCTGGGGTTCTGTGCTGTGCTGTGCTCGGCACGGCTGTGCTCGGCTGTGCGTGGCGCAGCATTGACTGCTGAGCCCAAACGGTCACTCATATGACATGTCTGATGTGGGCCAGCCCCTACTATTCAGCTCTTTGTGGTGCCGCCACACTGAGCGGCGTGACAATGAAGTGCAAAGCAGCAGTGGCAAAGAGGGCCAACTATAAGGATGGCCAATCTACTTATGCACCCCAGAGCTGACAGCTTGACATTTCTATTCACCACTCAGAGTGGATAAGAGGGGGGGAGAAAAGAGAGAGAGGAGGGAAGAAAAATAAGAAACGAAATGCTGTTTTTCCTTCAATCATCCTGTTCTATCTTGCCCACACAGTTGTTGTGGTTTATAAGATGCCACTCTCCGGGCTTGTTGGTTTTGCTTAAGACAGTAAAGCAGCGGTGGACACAGATATAAATAAGGCGGAGTTGTAGAAGATAAGTGTTGACTGCTGAGGTACCTGTTTGGATACTTTGGGCTCCTCCTCGATATACTTCTGCTCAATGGGAATCAATGTCCTGAGACCAGCCTTCACCTGGAGGATAGAGTGAGCACACACAACATCATAAACAGCAAACGGTGAGAGTGAAATCACACTAATTTAAAATAATACACATAAATAAACTGACAGAGATGATGACAATAAATTAGCGAGAAACTATATTTTGATTATTGTGAAGATTTTTTTAACACATTGTGTACTGATGTAGCATTAGCATTGCAGCACATGCGTAGAGCGTGCCCCATGTCAGAGGGTAGAGAGAGCGGGAGAGAAAGCTGTAAGATGGCCGCTATAGGACACACACAGCGATGGTGAATGGGCGAACAAAGGCTGTTGAGAGGGAGTCTTCGATAATTAAAGCCAAAACGAGGACGAGGGACAAGGGACGAGGGATGAGATGGAAGCGAGGGAGGGGGGGACAAACAGAATAAAGACAACAGCAGCGTAGAGGGGGGCAATCCTGGAGAGAACAAGAGAGGGATGGAGAGAGAGGATAATGGGGGGTGGGGGGCAAAATAAAAAAAAAATCAGGGAGGAGAATCAAAAAGCAAAAGAAAGACTTACAGCATTAAAAATCACGTCTATTTCGAGAAAGATGACCCCTTTTGTTGGCCCTGTCAGCTCCTTGCTTTTCAAGGCGTAGGCTTTGCGTTCTCCATTTTGGATCTGTGGGAGAGGGACATGACAGGCGTCTGTCTGGCAATACCCGGCTGAATCGGCTCCCCGAGCCACCTTTGAACCCCAGCTGCTGGCGCTGACAGGGAACCCAAAACAACTGTGGCAACTCTGACAAGTACCTGTTCATTACCCACTGCAGCTCGGCTCTGTCAAACAGAAATTAACTATCCTGGGGAATCATACTGTACAGCAGAGCATAGATATATATTAGACACACAGTTCTTTCACAGGCTATCTATATTTTTTCAAATATAAGAGACTGTCTTCTGTCTCTCTTTTTTCTCTAAATCGCATCGTTCCATCTCTCGATCAGTGTCATTTTCGTATCATCTCTCATCCCCTCACTTTCTTTCTTCTCACCTATCACTCTTTTTGCTCAGTCTCTCTTCCATTTTTTCTCCTTCCTGTCATCTCTTACTCTTTGTGAAAAAATAACAGTCTCATCTGTGTAGTTGCAAAAATAACCTCTGCTTTTTATATCTTCCACTGTGTGTTTTCATTCTTTCCGTTCCTCTATGTTCTCTCTATTATCCCCAAGGGGAAAGAAAAAGAAACACACACAGAAATCTGCCTTTGACTCACATTTAGTAAAGGAATCGCCACTTTCCCCAGGAAGTCTGCACTTCTGTCTCGGTCCTCATCATAAACAGTGACCTCGAGTACTGAGTGGATGTCCTTCACGTTACTGGACCACACACAAAGACAACACCAATGACACATATCCTGAAATATGGGCTACAAACTGAAACAGTGTGAAAGCTATCACATCTTTCACAAGCATCTTTAAATATTAAAGACACATAGAAAACAGTAAAATCTGAAACACTATATGAGGCATAACAAGTACCTTATATTTGAAACCCTGTATTACATTTACATAAATGTTTTAAAGTGACCATTAACATGCTTTATGTGATATTGTACTGCATTACTGCATGATCTAAGTAGAACTAAAGTGTGAAGATCAGACATGTCATCTTTTAAAAACTAGGCTAGCAAGAAGATGATGTTATGTATAGAAAGGAGGCTACGAGAAAGACGTGCACTCAAAGAAAGACTAAATTAATCTCTCCCATTACTGGGAATTCAGAAGTTTGTACTCCTGAATGAAACTGCGTCAGATATATAAAAAAAAGTATGTAGAATTAGAACATTCACATTTAACTATAGCCTCTGCATAACTATATTTTTGTAGGAATGCAACACATTTTAAAGCACTATTAAATGAGAACTATTTGGATTGCTTTGAATTTAAGAAATGTTATCATATTCTTTTTTTTAAATGTGACTGTCGCTCTGACTTTACCCATCTTTAATTAAAAAATACATGTCAGTTAACAATTTTTAATTCTTTTTTTATTACTGCAGTGAATACAAACTTTATATATGTGTATATAGTATATAGATACACACACATATAGTTAGAAATATAGATATTGTAAAAGCCACTCACAAAGTGAAGACCTTGTTCCACTCTGGGTTGAGGTTTTTGTAGACAGTGTGCGTCTGCAGCCGATCATTACTCAGCTCCACCACACAGTATGGGTCACTCTTACCTGCCAGAGAATGACCTTCTTAATGAAAACAGAAACATAAATACAGCAGACACTAAACTTTTGTTGGCTTGAGGTTTCAAGGAAGGTGAGAATCTTAAGTAATTCCAGTAGCTTTCGTCTATCTTCAATCCCTAATATTATTAAGACAGATAGTAAATAGCATCCTCCCCTTATACCACATGAAAGCTCCAACGCTGGACTTATCAGACCTGTAATACTGTGATCCTTTCATTTTTAGCTTTGATGCAGTGTATATCATAAAACAGTATATCAGAGGAACAGCTGCAAGCTGTTTCTATCAACACCCTGGGAACATGGACAACTAGAAGATAAGCTCCAGGACAACTGTGCCCTGGGCAGTCACAAGGAGGGGGTGGGAGGGTAAAAAGAGAGAGTTAGAGAATGGACGGTACTGAAAAAAACAGAGAGCGATGTGGCTCCAAAGGCCAGAGAAGAGTTCAAAGTAGGAGATAAAGACAGCCGAGCAGGGGTGTGAGAAACATAGCTGGTTCATGATTAGCGATTCCAAGCGAGTGGTGAGATGGTAGCGGCAACAAGATGAGTGAAAGCAAAAGCAACATGAGAATTAAATGATGAATGAATGACAGAGAAAACATTTCCTCACCATCCTTTCTGCCTTTTTCTATTGACAGCAATGATAATTAATAAAAAACAGTGGTTTCGGCTATTGAAATTAAACTTGTGTTTATTACAAGGAAATCGCTTCTGGAGTTTTATACACTGGCAGCAATACTAGTTTCATTAATATAACACACATGACATTTTACAGGAATAATAACAGAACAACATATATCCTAATTTAGATTTATCTTCCACAATAAATCATTTGAAAAACCAAGGATCACAAATGAAATAATTTAAGTGGTCTGTCACCGCCAAAAGATAAAACTTTAATACACTATGTGAGAACTTTAAAGAGCCTTAGATCTTATAAAACATATGATATATGGTTCACTATAAATCATATTCATTAATGCTAATTCATTCCAACAAAACTTTCAATTCAGAATTTACTACAGTTATGTAACGGGTAAAGAGAGACCGAGAGGAGAAATAAACATAATCACAGAGTTATTTCTTCCTCCTGAGAATAGCATACTGTACTATAATAATCAAAACCAGTAATGTCCTATATATTCTCTATTTGTTTACTAACATCTCACATTTCAATTTCTTTGTACACAGAAAGGAGTGAGACTAGCTCCCCATGCCTGCCAGCCCGCCTCCCTTCGATTGCCTCAAAATGAACTAAAAACAACAAAACTCTTAATTCTGGCTTTGATCATTACTTTTTATTAAAACTGTTGGGAGCCGTTGTGCTGTTTGTTCAAGCTTATCACTTGAAAAGACTGGGTCAGAAAGTAAAAAAAAAAAAAAGTCCCACACGCATTCCCAGGGAAAATATCAAGAATACTGAAATATTAGTAAAGCAGAGACGTTGCATAATAAGACTCAATAAAGTTGGGATTGAGTTCAAAGCCCCCTGCTGCATTTGTGTATGTGCTTGTCTGTGTTCGTCTGTGTGTAGCATGAGAAGCATGCGTGTGTGTGTTAGTGCCATTGATTGGTGTGATTTTTTTCAAATGTTGTGACAAGGGCAGGACATTTAGTGGGTGTGCAAAGTAAATGTCACCGTGATCAATGTTGAGCCGTAGGTGTTGCCTTTCATATCTGTTTGTGGCGCTCTATTGATGTAGAGTGTTTGAAGTGGATATTGACAGCTATGACTCCTACGATAGAAAACAAGATACATTAAAACAGACAAAAGACAATGGACTCAAGAGCCTACTTCTCAATGCATCTCTCTGTACATACGTTGTTAGCCATATAAATTGCTTGCATACCACATAAAGTATGTATTGTATTAAAATACAAATTATTTCTTGGACCAATTATATCTACACACAAAAATGTATTTTAAAATTGTAAATAAGTATTATTAATAATATATTTTGGTATCAGTTTTCATTCAATATTTTTACGTTAGTGAATAGTTCAAATCCTCCTTAATTATCCCGGAGTTTCCATAGCATAAGCGATTATAATGTTGTTCCCACAAATCAAGTCTGATTAAATTTAAATGCAATCACCCAAATTAAGAGATGGAAATTATTTCTGCAGAACCCCGTCCCTCCCCCATTTTCTCTCTAATATTCAGTTTTTAATGACATGGCAGGCAGTGTTGCCGCAAAGAGACAGTTGTCATTGGTGATGAACTTTCACCTTATTGGCCGCCAGCACCAGAGGCGGCTGTCTTAACCAATTACACGCTCAGGTTTGAGCGCCACTCAGAGATCATCCAGGTAATGTCCAAGCAAAACTCCTCCCCGCTCTAGGTCCCATCTCTGTGGCGCTGGAATACGGTTTGCAGCAAGGAGAGGGCTCAAACTCATTTCATGCTGCCCTAAGATAAGTGTGGAGGAAGAATACAGTACGGAGACGAGGGAGCACGCTGTAATTGCCTCGCAGGAACCTTAGAGTTAGTGAGGAGTTTGAGGTTGAGAGGGAAGGAACGCTCTCATGTTCCTGTATAATCACAATTAATTATGATTCAGACTTTAAAATGTAAATCAATTGCATTTTAGTTGCATTTATTTTCCATTTCTTCATAGCTTTTAATAGGCTATACAAGATTATCTACTGTATTCCTCCATATGTCAGTGATGCTGAGGAAAATCTAACACAAAAGTCTACACATGCTGTGGTACTGCTGCTGGAAGTGTGTGTGTGTGTGTGTGTGTGTTGTGTGTGTGTGTGTGTGTGTGTGTGTGTGTGTGTGTGTGTGTGTGTGTGTGTGTGTGTGTGTGTGTGTGTTACTATTGAAATGTTCTAACGGTATAGCATCCACTCAGAGGGACAAGAGCTGGCAGACAAAAGGGATTGTTGGTTTTAGAGACTATTTTCAGTTATCCTACTCGGGCTGGAGAGGAGCTACTCCACAAAAACACTTCAATTAGAGAGAGAGATGGCCAGAGAGGAGAGAGAGGAGAGAGAGGAGGAGGAGGAGGAGGGGAAAAGACAGGAGAGGAGACAGGCAGCGTGAATGGGGGAGAGATGGTGAACTCTCCCTCTCTCTCACTGACCCTCTCTCTCTCTCTCTCTCTCTCTCTCTCCTCTCTCTCTGTCTGTCTGTTTGTCTGTCCGTCTGTTTCTCTCTCACCTTGCTCCTGACCCTCTCTTGGTCTGGGCTGTTAAAATAGGGTGTTCATGTGGTGAGGGCTCTTATGTGGCTCTTACACAGCTATTGTTTCTGCCAGTGACACACACAACACATACAGACATTCTCTCTCTCTCTCTCTCTCTCTCTCTCTCTCTCTCTCTCTCTCTCACACACTCACACTCACACACACACACACACACACACACACACACACACACACAAAACAGGAATAAGCCATCTAGAAACAACCCTTTGCCTGTCTGTTATCTGTATCAGTCTACTACATCTATCTTTATGGGGTTACTCTGGCTGGAAGAATATGTTTTCTGGTGAACAAAAGAAATATACTTTCTTTTCAAATAATGATACAAATTGGACTTTCTGAATTTGAGATCTCTGACTATAACAAAAGTTATGTGAAAACTCACATGAAACTAAAGCCCATATTTTGTGATGTGAAAACATTGTACAAAACATGCATTCTGTTTTTTACTATGTGAAATCCAAGTTTCAAAATGTAAAATATATTAGGTAGGCACATGTTTAAATGTAGAACATTTCTCCTCCTTTATCAGTCTAATTAAAAACTGTCCCATGTCATGATGTCACAAATGTTTTTCCAAAGAAAGCATGTTTGTTGTAGGTTTTTAAATCTGAATTCAACATTTCTTTCCATTCGTTTTGTATTCAGTCTTAGTAGTGTCTAAGTTAAATATTAGCCCTGGTTGGAACCTCAAGACAAGCTGCACTTTTACTGTGACGTCAGCCTGTAGCAATAATTTCAAATCACCACAGGCCATAAAGACACTGTTCTGAAATCAAACCTGTTCTCTATGACCACACCAAACTGGCAGAGACAAAGTGAAAGTCAAACAAACAGCCAATAGACATTATATTTCCACAGTTTTACTCTTGGTTTTTTTAAAAGGATCCATGAAGCTCAGACTGAATGATGAGCTCTACAACGAGGTCACGGAGCAAATTTCTGCTCCGAGTGAAATACAAGAGCCAGAGAGCCATTAGCCCTGAACTCCGGCTGCTCCGGTCGCTCCACGCAATAACCCAAATCAACCAGCTCCACTCTGTATTGGCTAATGGGACTGTGGCTGTTTCAAATGGAGAAAAACTCTACACACACACACACACACACACACACACACACACACACACACACACACACACACACACACACACACACACACACACACACACACACACACACACACACACACACACACACACACACACACACACACACACACACACTTCTTTCTCTCTACTAGATAATACGGAGTGAAAAACTAGGCCTGTCCACTGTAGACCTAATTAAAAGTAAGAATTAATGGAGAATGGAGGATTCAGAGAGAGCAAGCAGAGAAAGAGCAGGAGGAGGGAGGAGGAGGGAGAGAGATTTGTTGGTTCAAATATGTACTTTTTCTCTATTATTCAAATGAGCAGCCTGCATCTTTTCTAAAAATGCAGAGACAAATTTAGCGTCCTGCACAAAGTAGACTTTAACTCTCTCTGAGGATTCTCTGAGGATCATCCCTTAAACCAAAATTACACACTGACTTTATCTGTGGCTAGATATATGGCAGATTGCTGGTGGAGGAAAATGTGCCACAAGAATTGTTCAATGTCTAGATGCAAAACTCAAGTAAAAGTTATTTAAAGCGAAGATTACTCTTGTAATTGATGGTATTACCAATCAGATGCTCGGTAGTTCTCACTCTGATAGTAAAGTATCAACAGAAATTGCAAAACAACAGCAAAATTTGAGGCCTATTTGTTATTTTTAGGTGTATTAATATATGAAAATGAATACAAGAGTATAAAAAGAAGAAACTAACTTTTAACAATGTGTATGGAAACTGCAGAGGTTATCGTCCGGTTGTTTGGACTGAAGGTCATTGTCTTACCTGTGACATCTGCTGCCATCAGTCCCTCAGCCCTGATGACCTTCACCTGCACCACACCGACATCTTTCAGGTTATGGAAGGACCTCCACATGCTCTGAAACATCACAGGAACAGGGGTGAAAGGTCAAAGAGGACGGCAAATTAGCATTGAAGAGAAAGTCAGGTCAATAGCCTGACATTTCATTAAGAGAGGAAAGGGTAGAATATGTCCTTTAACAGTCCTTATTTGAAAATGTAGAGCTGGCATTTATAGTGAAGTCTAACAGAGGACAAATGGCCAGATTTAATTTCCCTGAATAGCGGTGCTTGTCTGTTTGAAATCTTTCCTAACTTTATACTTTTTACATAAAGCAGAACGTCACTGATGTTGGTAAAGATGATGAGCCATGCAGAAATATACTGTAAAAGGTTACATCGAATAAAAACAGTACGAAGATAAAAATAGAACAAAGAGGGGTCATTACAGACAACAGGGGAGATCAACACTGTAACATGTCAATCAAGTATTAAAACTGAATAGATTTCAGCATTATACCTGGTCTTAACATACAAAAAGGCTAACTTGAGGTGAGAATGCACAAAAAACTGTCACATAAACTATACAATATTGCAAATATTTTTCTATTAACTTTTAAGTTAGTCACTTACTGAGTTACAGAATAAAGAGTTCTCTATTTTATTTTTGTGAAAAGTAGTGTTTCCCATAGTGTTTTGTATAATGACTTTGAGGAGAAGAGTGTCAGTCTGAGGCAGACAATGTTTGTATGAGATTTGGACATCCTCTCTGCATCTCTCCAGCAGTTTGATGTGTATTATTGTATAAACTGTCTGTTTTTTCTTAATCCAAAACAGATTCACTGACTGGTGTACACTGTCAGTCTGGAAAATGTTGGCTCTGGCTAGTATTTACTTTTTTAGTCACTCTATGAATCGCTTCCTCACAATGTTGTATTTATATGTTGTGTGTATATGAGGTGTTAAGAGGGTGTGTGAACAGCAGCAGTAGTATCAGCAGAAAAAGAAACACAAAAGTGAAAAAAGGAAAACACATCACAATATAACATAGGAACATGAAACAAATGTACAAGAAGTTACAGCCGGATTTTAATGTTATCGATATATTAATGTGTCTGTATAGGGCTCATTGTAAACTGCCTACACTTAGGCTATTAATATAATAATCAGAGAGATATTGTGGTGAGTAGACACATCCAGTGAAGCGTGACTGGCAGTGATATCGTAGTTATGAGGCAAACACACACTGACCTCCACACACACTATCCAGTTCGCACAACATCCAAACAAAAGAGGACAACCGTAACAGTCACAATAGCTAAACACACCAACTGTAAAACACGAGGTCAAGGACACAAGCTTAGCTAACCCTAACCCCCTGACATATTCTCTTTTTTGTATGCTCACACACCATAAAGACACACTTAAAGGCACAGTCAAGAGGTGCCATGAGGCCCTGCGATTGTCTACTGTATACTGTATGTACAGGGTTTTAATAACCAGGAGAAGGAATGATGACTGTGAAAAAACAAGTCTGTAAATCTGCAGAATAGAGGGAGACCTGTGGAAACCAAGACATGGGCACGCACTGACAGACACACATACAATCATAAACTCATGCCTTTGTTCACACCCAAATACTCAGGTATAAACACATGCATAGAAAACCTACACTGAGGCCAAATTGAGTAGCATGTCGGCGTGTCTTAAAAGCAGAGAGGAAATGCACTTCACTTCAATTTATTTCTCTCTCTCTGGCAATAACCCCTTCCATCCCCACAGGAGTAATTATAATTTAAATTTCAGAGTCAGGGCCAGGCTACAGACTTAATTCATTATTACCAACTCTGTCAGACTCTGCCTGTTTCCAGCGATATCATTGTCCAAAAGCTCTCTAAAGGAGATGAGAGAGGAGAGTGTGCGAAAGAAAGAGAGGGGGAAAGAGAGCATCTGAAAGAGAGAGAAAGAGAGAGGGAGAGAGGGGACAACTCTCAATTTTAAGGCACGATTTCTCTGAAGATACAGCTGCTTGTTGTGATTATTGGGGAGCAGCTAAGGAGACAGACACAGCGAGGAAAGGAGTCAGAGAGAGGGCATGAGGGAGGCAACAGCGGAAGAGACGAGGGCAAACTAAAGGCTGACTAGTTAGTGTGTTAGTGTTCAACAGCAGGACACGTCATGATGCCGATAACCTACCTAGGAATCGAACATCAATACTTTTTTTTGTACTGACAAAAATGTGTCTGTACAAACTATACCAAAAGCAGGCACCAAATGTCTGGTCAGACTCATAATCTTGTTTACTCAGTATTTAATCAGATATTTACGGACCAGAATTTCCCCAAGTTAGACTGTATTTTATGGGTCAGTTTCGTAATCTTGTTTACTTGATCAGACAATTCTTGATTTAAATCAAAGTGTTTCCAACTTTGGACTGTATTTTTGAGTTTATTCTGCTTATGTTTGGACATTTAACATTTAACAAATGTTACTTCTTGTGTTTATAGAAAAACATTTTAAGATGCATTTAAGTACAGTGTAAAAAAATAACCATTTTGAAATCGTACCAAAAAGATCAAAGTATTATCATTTCAATACAATACTACAGCAATGGTGTCCATATTGACACACAGATACACAACATGGATTGAACGAAGAAAATTACTTCTTTAATGTATGGATAGAGATATTTCTACACCCCCAACCCATCATCCACACTCTATCCCTTCCTCCTGCCATACAGACTCCCTGAGGGGACATTTAAGGTTCATCCTCAATCCACTGGTGGAGACAACGCACCCATCCTCCACAAAGATACAAATCCTTATCAGAAAGACAGACAGCAAAAGACGGAATAGACAGACAGATGGACAGGTAGAGAGAAAGAGAGATGAAGGGAGGCCAAGACCTACCCCCACTCCCTCATTTACGTCTCCCCACACCCCCATCAGCACGCAGGTGGAATGATGGGAATAAGGAGGAGATGAAAAGGAGGGATGAACAGAGGAGAGGAGAGAAAAATGGAAGGACAGAGTTGGCTTTTCATAAAACAAACCCCCGCCCTGTCTGTGATTGACAGCTTGTCACTGTGACATCTTCTTCCCGTCTCTGTCACACACAAATGAATCAGCCCCGCCATAGGCTGATGACTCGCTGTCATCTTTGCATCGTGTCACCTTTCATCAGCGCTCCATAAAACATTTCACACACAGACACGCACAAAGCATCTCCCCCCAAAACACACACTTTAAAGGGGGTTTAAAAAAAATTAAAAAAAAAACAAAAAAAAAAAACCAAAAATAAAAACCCCCCCCCCTTCTTTCCCTTCTCTTCTTCTTTTACAAAAAAACCCTCTCTTTCTTTTTAATTTTTCCTTTTTTATTTTTTCCCCCCCCCCCCCCCCCTTTTTCCCCCCTTTTTTCTCTCCCTTTTTCTTTTTTTTTTTTCACCTGCCGTGTGTGTGTGTGTGTGTGTGTGTGTGTGTGTGTGTGTGTGTGTGTGTGTGTGTGTGTGTGTATATTATTTTTTTTGTGTGTGTGTATATAAAAAGAGGGGGGGGGGGGGGGGAACCAACCCAACAAAAGGACACAACCCCCCCCCCCCCCCCCCACCCCCCCATCCAACCCCCACAAAAAAAAAAAAAAAAAAAAAAACTTTTTTCTTCTTTTTTAAAAAAAAAAAAAAAAATTTTTTTAAAAAAAAAAAAAAAAAAAAATAGTACATCTAGGCGTTGTCACGTGATTGCCGTGTCTTGCCCCAGCTAATAAGTTTTGGTAACATGTACATCACACAGCGCACATGATGTACAGGCATCAAACTACACACAAAAGCAAGCTAATAAATTAATGCTCTGCAACCCGACTGTGTTTTATCTCTTCATGGCCACATTATAACACCTCCATAGGTACATTAAGTGGCGGATTGTGTGTGTTTTTTAAATTATAAACGTATATTTGTTATTAGGTTTGAATTTTTGTTATATTCAATACATCACTAACTCCTAAGTAATTTTTTTTATATGGGGTGGCCACACTATGCTCTTATTGCATTTTGTAGTATCTGTCTTTAAGCTTATATGACGCATGGTACTTTATTGCTTAAACCCCCATTTTATTAGATACTACGGTATTTTGATGTGTTTGTGCTGTTTTAGCGTGTAATGCTTTTGGCTTTCTACAGCTATTTAGCTATAATACCAGTCGTAAAATGTGCCCGCATAATAACATAACCTCCTCACACCACACACACGTGCTATCACGCCCTGTTATTATTAGTTGGTACTTGGTCTTATCGTGGTTTTGTGTTCTTTATTAAATTCTCTAACTAAAAAAGGGGAGTCTGGGGGAAAAAAAAAATTTTAAAAATAAAAAAAAATAAAAATTTTTTAACCAACCCAAAACCCCCCCCCCCCCCCAACCCCCCCCCCCCCCCCCCCCCCCCCCCCCCCCCCCCCCCCTAAAAAAAAAAAGGGGGGGGGGAAAAAAAAAAAAAAAAAAATGCCGGGAGAGCGGGACAGAGATGGGGAGTGCGGGAGAGAGAAGGAGGCAGGAAAAGAGGTAGGCGAAGGAAAGAAAATGTCTCGCCTTCAGCCGAGCAGAAAAACGGGGTCTGCACGAGTTGTGAGAGAGGTGAAATAGCTTTTTCTTTTCATTTTACACGCCTTCCCTTCCCGGTGCAACCCTCATCCTTTACCTCTCGCCCCCTATTACACACACTCACGCAAACACACACACACACACAAACACACACACACACACACACACACACTCACTCCTGCGCCCCGTCCTCATTTTTTGGCTGTGAAGAGAGGCACAGCGTGTGTGTGTGTCTCAGTCCTAGAGCTCCCCCCTCTGATCTTAGGTGGTTGCTGCAGCGCGGAGCAGAGTGGCCGACCTCCTGTGGCTAGCCAATAAGGCACCGCCACAGTTATGTAGGTCGTGGTACCCGTGTTTGGCCTGTGGAGCCTCGCCGCTGGTGCCTATGCACACACCGAAAGACGCAAACACACACCAGCTGGGACATACCGTTAACTGAAATCAGAACACATCCTATAATCTCACAAACACAGACAGTTACTGTACAGTATGTGAACACACATGCACAGTATAGCCACACATAAAAGCACATGTAACTAAGTGGTACTCATGGGAAAATGTGCTCCTACAACTCTCCCAGACAATTAAATGTAATTGTGCAAAAATGCTACAACAAATAGAGTATCTTTTTTTGTTATTAAGTCCTAAATTAAACTAAAAACATTAAGTGAACAAATATCTTTTTTCTTTCTATTAGAATAAGTAATGACTGGAAGCAAATATGGCTGCAGCATTGGGTGATAACACAACACAAGATTCTGTTGACGTGCAGAGAAATGTCCCATGTCAAGGCTGTCAGTGAATGAAATCTATTGAAAGTGTGTGAACATGTGTGTGAGTTGTGTTTGAGTGTCTCTTTGTGGCAAGGAGTGAGGATGACAGGGTGTGAAGGGTTAACTAGGCTAAGACAAAGACATTGAAAGCATTGTGTTGAGTGGAGGGCCTCTGGAGCAGATGGGGCCTTAGAGCTCTCTTTCTCACTCTCTCGCACTCTTTAATACTAAGCTTAAATCAATGATGACTGGCTAACAAGCTAGGACATTTTACACACAAATAAATGAGCCCACATGCATTAATCATAAATGCATAACACACACAACTCACTGCAGGATGCTGATGCAAATACTGCACAATACTGGTGGCGTGAATCATAGCAACAGAAACAAACCAGCGATGTGAGCCTCCATCTTTTCCAAACAGTTAGTCCAAACAGCTCATCTCAGTAGTGCCAGAGAAAAGAGAAAAGATCTCTCTTCCCTGACCTCTGAAACTTCTTCCCTCCTTCCTTTCCTTTAGTGAAACATCTTCCTCCTCACTTCCTCTAAAATCAGAGTTTATTTAAAATGTAATGTTATGAAAAAAAGGAATTGTTCTTGATGAATAAGTGAGATTCTTTATAAATTGTGACTTTACAACCATCAGAAGTCTGATGATAAACGTGTGAAGGATACTCTCTTTGTTCATACAGCAATCAATCTGAGGAATAAGTCATAGTCAATCAGTAATATAAAGTGTGACTATGTGAAATTATTGTAGTGTGTGAAGTAATGATGAAAAGAAACATTTAGTATGTAGATCTTGAGCCCTTACTGAATGATTAAGGGAACCTTTTTTTCTCTGGTATGTAGTTGCATTCACGCTCATTCTTTTATTTAAAAAAATTATACAATTTTAATTTGAGCTCTCACTGTATAACCTCTCTCACAAAAGTATTTTTATGCTATACACAACACAAGGCCACCCTTACAATAAAACTCACATATCGCTGCATGATCTGATGTCTCTCATGTGGGTCATCCAGCATATTGATTGACAGGTCTGAGATGGAAACAGCAGCTGAAGCAGTGAGTGTAACCAGCAGCACCAGCACACCTTCACCTTCCTCCAGTGGCAAGTCCAGCTTGTGTGTGTGTTCTTTACTGAGAAGTGATAGGTCAATGGAACACCTAAAGCGCCACACACACACACACACACACACACACAAAATTACAGAGTTAGTAAAAAAAAATGTAAAAAGGTGGGACAATAAGGAATAAACCTAAAGAAATGCCTGTGTAGCCATTTTTAGGGCTGAAGTAAAATAGTCTGTAAGGTAATAATTATCACAGAAAGTATAGAAAGAAAGAAAGAGTCTGAAATTTACCTTCAGAAAGAGTGTCTAGTCCATTTCAGAGTTAACATCTCATTAAGAAGATTATAAACATTGCACTTTGCACTGGAGCACAGCACTAACAATAACCTAATAATATACACATAGCAAGCATTGTGTGTAGGATATAAGCAAACGCAGACAACTTCGCCAAAGCTAACACAATTAACACCTTTAAGTAGGCACTTGAGAGCATCTGCTTTTGATTGAATTGATTTTCTGGCATTGCCCTCAGTCTATTTGCACTTAATATCAAGGCAAGCCAATAGTAATTACTGGACTTGGGTCAAAGAGTTCACAGCAAAGACTTCCTCCTTCCAAAGAGTGTCTCCATTCTGATGAAAAACTAAAAAACTTTGACTTTCCACAGGAAACAGGAAACAACCCAGGGTTTAAATTTGCACAGGCATTTTATACTAAAAAAAATAGTAAATTGGTCATTGTTCAACTCTTTTCTTTTTCTGAATAAAAGTCAAACAGATGCTTAATTTTGGTAAGCTACACCTGTTTTATCTATACAATCTAACAAAAGACTGATACAACTACATATCCAGAAAGACTGGATTAAGACCACTGTACCTTCCCATGAAGTCATCCTTCTTGCCAGCATCTCTGTCCCAGACTGTAATGTCCACGAAGCCTCCCTGCTCATCATACAGGTGGAAGTCAAATTGCTCTCTCCACTGTGGGTTCAGCGTTTTAGGAATTGTCTGAGTAAACACCAGAAGGAAATACACTGTTTGTTCATGTGTCTCAATTGTTTACATGAAATATGTATGCGTCATATATTATACACACATTTTACAAAAAGGAGTGTGTTTACCTTGCTCTTGTACTTCTGGTGGCCCAGCTTGAATTTGACGTAAGGGTCACTGAGGCCGTTGTTATCCATGGGCTGGAGGCTCCGACCTTCTATCAGACTGATGCTCACTATACCTCGCCACAGCTGGGCTTTTCTGTGCACATCTGACAGACGCATACTCTGATACTGCAACAGGCACACACACACACACACATTCAAAGAAACATTTACACACACACGTGCATTTATACATATGCAGAAATGTACACCCACAAAATAAACACACATGCCCCTTACTTAACCCCAAGAGAGAAATATGGCTTGTGTACACTTTGTCAACAGGAAAATAACCAATACCAAACACATCAAGACAACACAGAGAGGAGCAGGCAAAACACACAAGATAACACTTAAACACAAAATGAGATAATTCAACATAATTTACCCCTGAGGCGTGAGCTCACCTGACAGAACATCACTATGAATGATCAAACACAGTATCCATCCAAGTCACTCAGTGAGAGTCTAAAATCCTGAACAATTTCTTGGAAATGCTGAGAAACACCATCACTGTTGGTAGCAACAGTTTACCCACATTTGTGGGGAAATTAAAAACATGTAATGTAACCTCTTTCTATCATTTCAGTGTTTAATGAGATTCTACTGTAGACAAAATAGCTTACAGTCTGCATGAGAATGTATACATCAGTCTGGTCTTTTTTGTAGAAATTCTTAATATAATAAAAAAAAAATATTCCAAATGGGCAGACCACTGAGATGCTGTTACAGTGCATATCATCTGGCTTTACTGTAAGTTGACAGCACTGCAAATTCAGATTGATGATTCTCTATATTTTTAGTATGTTGTGTTTTTCTCAACAGTTTTCTCAGCACTTACAGGCCTATTTAACCTCTCTTTGAATCATGTCAGTATCCTTCACTAAAACAAAGAGCAGGGTATTTATTTGTCAAACAAATACACCCCTCTTTCTCTCTCTCTTTCTGCCTTTCCCTCTCCTCCTTCCTCGTTAGGGAGAATTTATTAGCATAGCTTTTGTTTTGCGGGTGAATTTCATTAAACTCTGAACAAACCCTGCCTCGCAAGCGCAGGCCTTTGATCTGGAGACGGAGCCTCTTAATTTCCATTCTCCAGACATTAAACAATGCGAATGGCTCCCTGCAATATAGCCAGCCTCACATACAGCAACTCCCACATCTTTCATTTCTCCTGTTAACTTGCTGCTAACACACTGTATCCTAATTATGAGAGGTCGCTGTTATGTCCTACTCAAGCACAATCCTAATTGTTTCCTTGTTTTGTTGCTACATATATCTTGCTACCGAAAACCATGGGCTATTTGGATTCGGAATCCACATCCCTCAGCCAGAGCACAGCAGGGGAGAGATCATGCACAGAGATGTCTTAGGAGAGATACTAACATTCAGTTTAAGAATTAATACAACCTTGTACATAGTTCAACTTTTGTCAGCCTTTTGAAAGAAGAAAAACTTCTGAAGTGCCAAAGTAAGCATTTTGCCTAGTGGTAAAGTTAAAGAGACCTGGACTTAACATGCTTCTGACTCATAATTATCATCTCAAACTACTTTCTCAAATAGTTTGCATCTACTGTGAGTTCAACACTCATAGATGCATCATTAAAAAGAAGTGGTTGTGTAAAAATAACCGTGTACCGTATGTATGAGCGCGGAGGCAGGGAGGCAGCGCCTTTTTTGGTGGGGTAGCACAGTAGCTACTTAGTTAGTGTTTGAGCTAATTCCCGAGTCACAGGCGGGGTGGCCCAGTTTGAAAGCTTCAAAGGCTTGGTTTGGGAAAGCACGATACAGCAGGACGTCTGCCCAGCTCTGACCAAGCATGCTTCAAATGTGTAACTGTGTCTCTTGGTGGATATCAAACTTTTCACTGTTAGTTAAGAAAACATTCAGTGCCTCTAGGTGCATTTAGGAGATTGACTTAGGGTAAACACGAGACACATGAGGAAACACAGCTGTGAAACCCAGTTGTGTTCACAAAATCATCCCTGATGCTTAGACTGCTGTATTTGGCAAAAAAAACAAGGTAAGTGCTTCATGCGTGAGCCAATAAGGAGAAGCAGAACTTTGACGAGCATGCTTTCTGTTCAACCTGACAGCCAACAAGAATCACAAAAAATGAAACTAAAAGGTAGCAGTCTCTTATGAATGGCAAGATGGGAACTCAAAATAATTTAAACATCAAAGAATTCCACTTGATGTAAAGGGGTATAAGAGTGTCCTATAATCAGTCCACACAGTCAACAATCAGCCAAATGTACTTATTTTGATTTGCTGTACAGGACTCCTTTAAAACCCCTAAAAACAAATAAGTCACTTTATTTTCTAACACAGCAGCTGCAATACCCGAAGCAGATCAAAGGTAGAAGAGGTACCAAAGTATCAATCGTTTCAAGTTGAGCAGAAGCACTGCATAATTTAAAAATTTAAAAGCACAAAGTTCAATATACGGTAGATTATTTTAATTGTCAGGAAAAATATCTGCTATAATACTGGAACACTAAATAGGTTACAAAACATAATTGAGAAAACCACTTAGAATAATGGTAGACAGTGTAATGCATTACTTCCACTCTTTATGTGAATTATGACACATGTAAACACAGTTCACCTTTAGGCTTAATCGCGCTTGCATTCCAAAAAAATAAAAATAAAAAGAGTTTACATCCTCTAAGGTGATGTAAATAGCAGGTGGTATATTGCAGCTTGTGGAAAATAAGCTAGTGACAATGATAACTGATAAAGAAAGAAAAACTGCTAATACCACTGTGGAAGGAGGGGAAGGAGGGAGGAAGGGAGGGGGCCAGGGAGACTTCATCCATGTACCAGGACACAAGTGAAGAGTGCAGGATAGGTGAGGTGCAGTGCGGTCGGTAGTGGGGTTACAGTACAGTTGGAAGTTTGTGGGTGGGGGAGTTACATGCTGTTTTAGTTTACCTTACTAGATCGTTTCCAGTTCCTTCTCAAAAGCATGGTCTGTAAATGAGACAAAGCTGTTACAGAGCGCCCCCCACTGTCAACCCCTTAGAGCTGCAGGGTCAGAGGTTAAAGGGCACGGGGTGTATGAGGTTCAGATGTTAGCCCTGGCCTGGTGCAGGTGGGGGGGGGGGATAAAGATAGAAGGGCAGCTGTCATTCATGCAGGTTAAGTAAGCAATAAGTGTGTAAGAAGCGCTCTTACTTGTCATATGATGTTATGAAGTGTTTGCATATGCAGACATGCGTGCACAAGCACACGCACAGATAAACATGTATGTATACAGTAGCTGCATTTGTGCCTCGTATACAGTATAACCATCATTTCTATACTTGATACTTTCATAAATGTCATTTCCATTCCTAGACCCAAAGAAAGACAGCAGCTGGGACTGAGAGCTGCTTCCTTGTTTGACTTCTTTGTTTGGGTCCAATAACAAAAAAAGTTGTATAAAAGTTCTTCACTGTACACAAGAGTAGAGAGAATACTTTTTTCTTGGCAAGGCATTCTCAAAACTTTAGCAGATTTTGTTGAAGATGATGATTTCTGAGATAAACGTGGCTTACTTATGGGACTTAAATTTAATCCTAAATGTAAAATTTTCAAATACAATAAATAATCATTATATAAGAGGACTATCTACACAAAGAAAATCCACACAATTCCCTCACGTCAACACTCATTACCTTGAAAACAAACGGTATATATATATATATATTGCAGATCATATACAGAAACACTGTTTATGCTGCATGGTTAATAAAATTACCAGAATCACCCCTATTAGCAGTGCAATAAAGAATTTTAAAGTAGATTAAAGTTCTGTATTCTCTCTTACCCTTTCAAACCAGCAGATGGCAACAGAGAGAGTCAGCCAGAATGTACTAGCATAACCTTGTACTCATTTTCTTCACAGTTGGAGAAATCTAAAATGATGCTTAACCTAAATAGAGTTTTATTTGTTCTGTCAAATGTGGACTCTCTGAACTACAGTACTAAATAAGCAGCAGAATTAAGACATCAGATCAAAAGGAATAAAATATTTCCCTCATGACTCTGCCTTGTTCCGGCTCGAGCATGCAGGGGTCCAATTAACCAAACAAATAATTGAACAGAAATAAATGCAACTCTGAAACATCGAGCATGTCCACAGAGGCACAAGCCAACATAATTAGGAAGGAGAATCCAGTGCTCTTTGAACATGGAACTTTTCTGCCGAACATATTAATTACACTTGTGTTTATGCATATGTATTTGCTGAGTTGAAGAGTTTCCAGTAACTGAGGCTGACTGAAGCCAGCACATTCCAGTTTAACACAGCACAGCATGCTCTGGCTTCTGATGTATGGATAAACAGTTCACTGACTTGGAATAGCACTGTTGCTGAACTTTGATTATGATTATAAAAAGGTATTATATTGACTTGTTTTTTTCTTCAGAATATTTGACTAAAACTAAAATAGATTATTTTTTATATCGGTGTGACATTTCAAAGATGATGTAAGTAAGATAAAAAAGTAATGATTCCCTTGAATGAGGAGGAATCTAGTGTGAGAGAGACAGATTAATGAGTAATCTGATTCATATAGAAGTTCATATAGATTTCTTACAGCATCCCTCATTTCTCCCTCTTTGGGTGACAGAGTGGCAGCTAGATCCAGGCTGCCTAGGTTATGTTCAGGGTACTGTGGGTCCTTCAGGTCCAGTGTCACATCCAGTGTCCTAAGGGGAAGCAAAGTGCGCTTACATGAATACATTCATATGCATATAGTTAGTGCATGGACGGATTCTACATAGGTGTATATAGGACATAAAGTAAGTAGTAGCCCACTATGGAAATAATTTAGCTGGAAATTAAGAATAAGGGTATTTTAGAACTCCTATTATTCTATCAAAATATGACAGATGTAAAACATATTTGTGCTGGAGAGATTGTAAGAAGGTTGGTGATTACACACATTTCTTGGGGGATTGTTAAATTAAAATGATACTGGGAAGGGGTACAGAAATATGTGCCCTTTTGAATACTAATTCACGACTAGAAGCAATGTATTATATCATAGGTGCAATACCAGATGGAACAATGGAAAAGAGAAAGGCTGACTAGTTGCACATACTTTTAGTGGTAGCAAAATAAATTATGATTTTATCTTGGCTCAAACCACTGCCACCTACTGTACATCAATGGCAAGGCAGGTTCATGAAAGTGTTTTAATCGAATGGTTTTTAAACTGATGGGCTCCAGTAATGGCTTACTTTGGATTACCAGTATGAGGTGCTGTACTGACAAACTACCATTTGTTTCTATTTTTTTCTCCTCTATGCAGAGGTACATGGTGCCATAATTGATTATTTTGTTTTTTTGTTTGGCAAACTCTGTTAGTAGTTCTTTTTTTTTTTTTTTCCATTACATGACAAAGCAGTTGTGCATAATTCAAATGTGCAGACATATAAATAAAATATTTTAAAATGTGTATATAAATGAATGCATGCACTACAAAACCCCATCCATTTTACCACAGAGTTGATACACATATTCAATCAGTTCATGGCTGACACAACATGGAATACTGAGATAAGCTGCCGCACAAGCTGACTGCTATTTTCTGCTTCCTTCCTTGAGCCCTTCGAGCTGCCATTCTTGCTGTTAAAAGGTTTTTGGGGGGAGTTTTTATGTACCTGAATTGAGAGTCTAAGGACAGAGGGTGTTGTACACTGTGCAGATTGTAAAGCCCCCTGAGACAAATTGTGATTTGTGATAGTGAACTATATGAACTAGAATTACCACCCCACAGTTGTCTGCCTCCGCCAAATAGTCAAGTTGCAGTTTAAATCCATGTATTTTCAGACTCACATAATATACGTGGTGATGACTTATATAAAAGGTGTAAAGAGTATATTTTGGCTAGGGGAGGTTATCACTATATTGATAGTCCATATGTATGATTCAAGTGAATATAGACTTTTGAACTGATTAATGAAGTATTATCATAGATGTACTGGTTAAACAGGTCCACATATACTGGATTACTATGTAAGGATGGATTATTGTAGGGTATAGCTATACAAAATGCAGTACTTTTGTTTTCTCCTGGAATTTTTAGATGAGAAGCCTCTCTATGAGATGTTCATGTGAATCCAATGATACTCGCAGAATGACGCACTGAGTGTAAGTCAGAATGGATGAGATGGAAAGATGAACGCTACTATCACAAGTCCAAATACCAGCTGTGAAAGCATAGTATGCCTAGTTGCTGCCACTTCCACCTGACTAGAGGTGTACATTGGCCAGAGTAATTGAAAACACCTGTGTGGGTGTGCAGGGCCTTTGAAATCTTGTTGTTTCCAAATTCAGTCTCCACCTACTCCAAAGCAATTGAATGCAAAAAAAAAAAAAAGGAAAAAAAAAGTGGCAGTATTTTTACTTAAGAGATAATATATAAATAAACTTCAGGTAATTAACTTCTTCTTCATATAGTTGTATATTATTGTAGAATATATATTGACTACAGCCCTGCTATGCTTCATGAGATTACCAAAGACTGCCACTAGAGGGAGACCACAGACTATATTTAATCACATTGTCTGCATCAAAAGCAAGGAAAGGTGCTTGGAGAGGGGTATGTGTCAAGAAAATAGTTGTTATGAGAGAGGACTCCCTAACCCTTCATTTTAGGGGTCAACCACACACACGTATTTACTATTGGTAGAGGCTGTGGCATAGAATAGTAGTGAATTGTGTTGATTTCACATATAAGTCAAAAGAGACAAAGAGACCTCTGATGTTCCAGTGACTCCAGGTGGAGGTATGCTGAGCCCATGAAATCATCCTGAAGTCCAAAGTCATAATCAAAAACCTACAAAGAGATAATATACAGCAACTGTCAACAGAAGACCCTCAACACCACATTGCAAATGTGGCATCTGGCATAAAACAGAAGCAGGCACAGTAAATTCATGTCCCCTGAGACTTAACATCATCCAAAATACAACCACAATTTATATTACAGCAGGAACATTTGGAGTCTGGGACTTATGTGCTGTACCTTGACATATAGTGGGTCCCTTAGGGTTTCCACCAGCAGGCTTACTCTCTCATCCCACACTGGGTTGAGATTCTTATGGATGGTCTTACTCCTGAACACCTCCTTCCCTGCGATCTTAAACTTCACATATGGGTCACTGGTCCCTGCAGGGAAAGAAAGCAAACAGAGAAGTACTGTTAAATAATAGGATGTCGGTATATGCTGCCTATCTAACTATTTATAAGGAAATCTGTTAGGGTCAAATTGAAAGTGTAAGCAGGTTACCTTCTTTAGCTTGTGCCACTTGTCAAATAGTAGTGTCTACAATTATCTATAATTATTGTGATAAAAATAGTTCTTGACAGTGTCAAAAACATTCAAATTAACCAAGATGTTGAATGATTACATTGCCAAGTACACAAAGCACACGTTTGCCCAATTTGTTTTTAGAACATCTCTGGTACTGTCACGACAAAATACGTATTTTGTTCTCTCTCAAGTTATTTTTAAACACAGAGACGCAGTTGTACATGCCATTTTGAAGGCCTAAAGAGAGAATAAGGGATATCATGTGACTTATGTTCTATTGTGGGTCATGTGATTACCAGTATTTACGTTGAAGCTGTGTCCTTGGATGCACACATCCCATACAATGTCTTCTATTTGCTCACTAGGTGGTGCAATTGTTTTACATTTGTGTTATTCTTTAAAAGAAGATTTTGGTGGAATCAATGAATACTGTAAAACTAGTCCCTCTAATGAATATATATGTATATATATATATACATAGAAAAGTTCCCAAATTAATTTATCTTTTATGCATAAGTGTAAACACATAAATATGGACATAGGCCTGTAATTCACACACATGCATGAAACACAAACAGGCTAGAGGATCTACAATTTATTATCTCTGTATATTCAACATTTCTCATGATGACCAAGAGCAAAAAAAATAAGATATATAATTATTAATGTACAATTTAACCTGGTAACTTGACATTAATCTCAATGTTAATTCTGCTTTATTCTAAAATCCTATTCACAAAGGTTCATAAACTAAAAAAAACAAACTATACAGACCAGGTAGTAAAACACCATAAACAGGGCCAATTAAAAGATTATGCAGACCATGAAGTAAAATACATTTAATTAAATATAGTAACAATGACGTTCAGTCCAGCAGATATATTTCAGGCACAGAAATTCAAACCGGATTCAAAGGTTTACTACTGAATCTGAATAAAAATGACAAGCAATAACAGCTTCAGGGAGAATCTCCATAATGCAGTGTTTGCATACAGAGCCGTGTTTGTGCAGGAGATAAATCAGGTTTAGTTTGGCTTGGCAGTCTGTTCACATCCAGGTTCATAAAGTGGCCAAAGGGACCTGAACAGGACTTATCACAGGCATTTCACATACATAAATTCTACTACATGTATGTGAACTACTTAGTACAACAGCAATGTTCTCAGGTCATGATAGGACTATAAAGGAAAAAAACATCTAAAGTCATCCTCCCTTTCAAAAACTAATGGTGCTCTCACTTAACTTCTGTCATCCTTCCTTCCATCTTTGTCACCCAATCCCATCTCACTCTCCTAACCATGACCCTGTCCGGTGTTTATACAAATAACTGAAAGGATGATGACAGCAACTTCTCGTGAAATGGTACCCTGGACTGATCTGTTTGTTTGTGCTGCACGTGTCTCCAATCAGTGTCATGTTGTCATCCACTGTGACCAAAGCGATTACCAAGCAAATCGCATGGCAAAGAAGGGAATCCTATTATCAAACAATTCTCACTGTGCCTATGGTTTATCCTTTCTGACAGTATTTCTTTGATAACACAGAAACATAAGTTAACATCTAAAATCTACCGTATAGTACAATATATACCATATGACAGTAAAGAACAACAGCGAGGATACTAACTGATAAAAGGCTAAGCTTTCTCAGTGTTTGCACACATCTCATCAGTTCAAGATGGAGTCGTGCTCTATCATTAGCAAGAGAGCAAGTACAAATATCTGACTCTCACATAATGACTTTATGCTTATTAGAAGCAGTATAGAGACTAACTAAGACTAACATTGGTCATTTTGTGATTAAAAGAGATGTGACCAAATACATATGGTTGTGATTATGAAGAATAAGTAATTATATGGACAATTATAAAATATTATACTGTGTATACTATTTAAACGCACAGTATACTCAATGATCACATTAAACACAAAAGCATACAATCTGATTTGTGAGAAAAAAATGTTTTGAGTAAAAACTGCTGACACGATTCTCAGCTGCCACCCAGCTCTGATGTGAGAGCGGCAAAATATTCACTAACACCAGCCTGCTGGGAAAAGATGTCTACTTCTTCACATTTGAACGACCTCAGACACCCTCATGCACACCAGCAGAGATGCTTGAAACACACTCTCACACACATATACACCCTTTTACACACTGTTGCCCTTGACATATCACTGCAGGAGAGCTGCAGCGAAAGGACACGGATAACAGCATCAGAAAAAAGAAGGGGAAAGAGAGACAGCTAGAAATGTCTGGGATAGCATCACTGTGTAGTATAATACACAGAACATACAAAAAAACAATACAGAATTCTGTAAATACAAGCCTGAAATAAATAATCAGGAACACAAGGACGCACTAAAAACAAGGCTAAAAAGAAATAATCCCATTTCGCATCATGGAGGCAAAAGCTACTAATCTCTAAAACTGCTGCTACTCTCTTTCTCTCTCTCTCTCTCTTTCTGTGTCCCACTGGGTCGATATTCCCCAGAGACACATCACTGGCTCAAAGTCTCTGCATCCCACAGCGCCAGCTTTATGGTGCCATAAACACATACAGGCTGAAAAGTATAAGATGGAAAAGGTTGGTGCTATAGGTGGGTGGTGGCAGAATATGAGTGAGCGTGGGTACAGCACAGAGGAGTGATCGCAGTGGTGCTTTCTTGGAAAAATCAACCACCATATATGACATTTATATCATATTTTTAAAAATATTCCCCACAGTTGGGGAAAGTCTATAAAGAAAGTGACTGTATGTTCCACATAAGGGCTCCTGGGGAGATAGGTCAATAAGCAATGGGTGTTACAAGATCAATAAACTTTAGACAAATGAATAATGGTTGACAAGAATGCCTAAAACCAGTTTGAGTTCTAGACAGTAGGTTTGATCGATTGGTGCACCCTGGATGTTTGTCCACCTTGCAGGCAGGAGGCTGTGAAATGGAAGTGCTAGGTAACGGGAGACTGGGTATAAGTTAATGTGTCACCCACTGATAAACTGGCAAAGGTAAGCAGGTGCCGTAGGTACTGAAGCACAGCCATGGAAAGCAAAAACTGATTTTCTGTCTTTCTGATGTTGTGTGGCATTACTTGTGAGGAGTGCAGGCTAAATGTGTGAGGTAAATGCAATTCACAAAAGAAGATTTGAAAAAGTCCTAAGTAGGTATTGGAAGATTAAACTATAAATGTAAAAGTAAACATCTGCAGTATAATATGTTCAATGTTTGTAAAAACATTTCTGAATACGCCTTACTGGAATTCAACACTCAGCTTCCAGAGATTCAACATACTACATTCAACAGTTCACATCTGCTCTATCAGTTTTGTATGTTGGGATATCTGAAATTGTCTTGACATGGAAAAAGCACAGGAAACACATTGTGACAAATAAAACAACTTATCTTCAAATGTCCAATTTAACGTTTTTATTGGTCAGAAATCACACAGAAAAAATATCATATTTTAGGAATTGGTGGGTAAGGCCAAGAAGAGGCACTGCTTAGACCAAGACTATAAAACAGTTTGACTCCAATGGTTGAGAGCTCAACTACAAAAATCAAAAGTTTATCTTAACACCAGGTGCTATGTTTATGAGTAACATACCAGGTTAGTTTCAGGGCATAGGTTACCATAGTAACAGACACAGACATACAGTAAACCCTGCATCTGTAACAGGGGCTTTTCTGTGAGCCTTGTTCTTGGAACCAAAAATCCATTATTTCACTGAATTTTGACATAAAAAAAAAAAAAACATGGTAAAATTTACTGATCCTCCTTTCTGGAGTAATCCCTTGGGTCCACAAACTGGTGGGTGAGCAAGAGAGTGAGTGTCGAGAAATTGCAAAGGAAACAAAGAGACACTGAGTTGTTCATATCAAGGTGTTAATCTATTCATCTTCCATGATGCTATTAAAAATAAACCACTAAATCCTGTAATAGTAGCAGGGAGTAGAAATAAATGGATTTGTGAGAGGACCCAGTGGTGCACTCAGCAGGTAAATTTACCTTGGGTGTGGTTCACAGGCAGATCTAAAAGCCCCTGATAGACTTGTTTTTGATAGCTGCTCTCCGTCTTCCTGACAGGCAGATCCACAGAATCCACCGCACATTTATCTCTACTGAACACCTAATGGGCAGCAGCCATATAAATACTCACTGTGTCTGTCTGCCAGTGAGCCGGGCTACGCTGCCAGACACCTGGTAATGCAACATTAGTGAAGCTTAAAAGCATCCAAATGTAAACAACAGTCCGGACTACCAACACCTATCACCTTTTGAATGGTCATTTAAAGGTCCGGTGTGTAAGATTTAGGAGGCTCTATTGGCAAAAAATGGAAGGTAATATTCATAGGTATGTTTTCATTCGTGTATACACGCCTGAAAAAAAGACCCTCATTACCTAAGAAGGAGCAATTTTTATTTCCGGAGGAGCGGGTCCTCCTCTACAGATGCCGCCATGTTGAACCACCATGTTTCTATAGTAGCCCAGAATGGACAAACCAAACACTGCCTCTAGATAAGGACTTTTTTTTATTTTTGCATGTTTCGCAGCCACCATAGTTTCTCCTGCACACTTGAAGTGGGAGGGTGAGACGAGGGGATTGTAATTTGCGACTAAACTGCTAGATGCCACTAAATCCTACACACAGGACCTTAAAAACACTTCTCTCTTGCTTTCTCTTCTACTTGCATTGTAGCATAATTTCTCCTTTTCACCAAATTAAATCCCTTTTTTTTTTGCTCTGTTGTCAAGTTAGTGTGCACATTCATTGTTACAGTATGTGTATTTGTATATGCACATGTAATTCATATCTGTGTGTGTATATACACTGATTAGCCATTAATCTGGGCC